CAGCCTACACAACGTTCAGAATTTTTACAGAATTTGAAAATTATTGAGTCCACACAGACAGACGGGTTTCAGCAGACTTTGCATGACAACTAAAAGACTGGGGATAATACACTTCAAAACTGCGCCTGATGAAGAATAATAGATTACACAATGTAGTAAACCAAATAAAGCTAAATGAAACTACAAAGTATGTTCATCAGCTGTTCATACCTCACAGAACTCTGCTTTAAAATATTAGAATGAAATCGTTTTAACAAAATCTCTTTTTAAATTTCTGTCAAAAACACTCCCTCATTTCAATTGTTTCATATCATATTGTACCTTGAACAGGTGCACTCAGCTTCTATTTGTCTCAAACTGTATAAAAGGTCCTAACTCTTTAATCAGTGATGTTTAGACCATTTTTTATATAATGTGTGCTTCAGGAGACTGTCAAGGTGAACATTCTTCATCTAAAAATAGCCCTTTGTTGGTGCCTAATGACTGAGTCTCCCTGTTTTCTTTTCACTGTACTGAACAGCTCTTGCTTGTCCACTTTTTAAAATTATGGAGAAGGGTTTTAGACAGGTTCAGAACTGAAAGCCTTAAGGGAACTTAAAAAATGTTGCAACAACTCTAGTTATTAAGAGATTCTGTGACATGATTATATGGCCTAACTGGGGTGTTTAAATTACCTTGTACACCGAAGCGACTCATTTACGGATTTTTTTTCACCATATTTATAAGCCAATGTTTGGCTGAGATATGACCGTTTTCATTCATTCTAACTGAAAATATTCAACACTACCATTTACAGCCACTAGATTGCACTCGAGTAGTATGGCATGCCATTGTATCATGCAATAGGTAAAAGTGGCTATTAATGACAGAATCAGCTTGCCATAGCCTGCCACCGTCGTCCAGCTCGCCTGGAGCAACCATCAAATCAGCTTCATTTCACTACATCGCCCCAGCAAAATGAAGCTGATTTGACCATTGAAGTGCATTTATTAAGTAAAAGTTCAACCGAGTCACACCTTTGCTATAAAGTCGAGCAAACAAATAATTGTTTTTAGGTAGTTATCTTGTTAAATCTTGAAAAAATTAACAGCGAGTCCTCCAGTGCACACGCCTACTTCCGCATATCGGCTTTTGAAATGCAGCTGATTTGACCATCAAAGTAAATTTATTAAGCAATAGTTAGACTGAGACACACTTTTACTATAATTATGAGCAAACGAATAATTGTTTTTAAGTGTCAATCTTGTTAAATTCTTGTTAAAGTCCTCCCGTGCATGCAATTTGGCAGCCAATAGATTTTTGTCACAACACTGGCCCACGTTTCCGGGTGGTCAGCGGTGACGCATAAGAAACGCGACACGTCAGCGGTGATGCATAATAAATGCAGCTTATACGGCGAAGTGACATATTTATGTTTTTTTCACTTTATTAAGACATATGTGGACTGATGTGACTTATAAGGTGGTGCGACGTGTACGGCAGAAAATACGGTGCACAGCATCTGAACACATTATAAAGACACAGATACAACACAGGTATCCAAATAGACTTGCAAGGTTCATTAATTATCTTGAGGCCAGACAGTTGGCAGTGCTCTGCAAAAAGGACATCTGGTCGTCTGATGAAGAGAGCAACGGGCAGAGCATGCAACCAATACATGAGTGGCAGCATGCATGGGCGCACATAAAGAGAAATAAAACAATGCTGGAGCTCTCCTTTAACTGAAGCCCACACAGGAAAAACAGAACATCATGCTCCATTTTCTTCTGTCATTAGTGGAGCATGGAGGTGCTAAACTGCACACACAGACACTTGGCGCTCACAGTGGGTCGACCATCATAGTCGGCCTCAAACACAAAGGCTACGAGCCTCCTCACTGTGTCGAAAGCTCGTTTGGAAGAGCAAGCACTATGTCTGTCTGCTTTCTGCAGCTCGTTATTGAGCGGCAACACCAAGAAGCTGCATTCAGTACAGCTCTGCTCGTACACACACACTGTACTTTGAAGTATACACGGATGCAGTTTTTCTCCAAATGGACGAGGGAGCAAGCTTGTCATATTCACACAAAATCTATGTGAAGATAAGAGAACAAGAAGTGGCCTATATTCACATTAAGACAGGAAGCTGTGTGACACAAACAGAGTCTCCCTGGCAGCCTTCTTAAAACAGGACCAAAGGAAGAAAACAGCCATTCCACACTGATCATTACAGTGCCAGCACTAACGTCTGTGGCTTTGAAACAACTGAGCCATTTAATGGTCTCTTCTGGACATCTGAGACACCCGTTCTGCTTCAAGCAGAGAGGCAATCATGTTACTGATCTGCCTCAGGAAACTGGGGACCATGACAGTCAAAAATCAGAATTTACGACAGTAAAAATAAAACTATGGGGATGTGATTATTTAGAGCCATATGAAAAGTCTAGTAAATAAATTCCCCTCACTGACATTGTTAAAAAAAAATCTAATTCTTATCAACATGTCTTTTGTGTTACATTCCTTGTTTTTTGGCCAGAAAGGCAAATTTCAGATTCAGGATCCGCTCTATAGCTCAGGAGCTGCAGTAAAACCAGCAGCTGGTGGAGCATCAGCAGCTTCAGACTCATGGCACTGAAATCTTGACACCTTCATCATAAACAAGCTGTAAGAAGCTTGAGGCGTGTCTGCCAAAACAAGCAGCAGACAGCTGCCAAGGTAGTCCACCATCTCATCTTTCACCGTTAGTCAAGCCAAAAGGCAAGAGACAGCGGTTTCTGGAGTTTATAAAGCTCAGTGTTCGACACTGTGAAATCTCGGATAAAAAAACTTTAGTTTAGCACAGAAATGCAAAGCTCCATGCATAAACCATGGGTTTAAATAAGAACCCCACTGTTGATGGTGATAGTTGTGCATTCTACGTCTAGCCTCCTGTACAGTTTTAGATTTGCATCAATATTTTGTAAGAAAAGAGGTATTTTTTTTATTAGTCCTCTCAAATTAATAAAAAATGCAGTTTGTGAAAGACATGTACTCTTTAGGTAGGCAGTTAAAATGTTGCCAAAATCTTAATAATCCACAAAACACATACCAGTACATACACAATGTTCTCTATCGGCAACATATAAAAATCTAAAAAAACAAGTTTCTCCTGTGAAGGCGAGCCTGTGATCGGGAGACTGCAGGTTCGAATTCCCGGAGCATTACAACAAAAAGTGAAGCACACAAATTTGCCTCCACCCTCATTTGCCCCAGTGGGTCCTTGAGCTAAGCCCTTAAACTCCCCTATCCACCCATCTCTAACTGGGCACCTTAGATGCTAACATGGCAGCCGTCCGTCCTGCACATGTGGGCTGCGGTAGCTCGGTGGTTGTGGTTGCATCGAGGGAATCTGGCGTAAAACAACTGCCAGGTTTAAACCCAATAAGAACACAGCCTTGACCACTGAGATACCAAAGCCCTCAAAATATATATTGGCTACCTCTTTCAAAAAGTAAACAAATTCAAATCAAGAAGGCAGTCAGGTGAAAATAATAATCCTAAATAAATTAACAGCACATACAAGTCTGAAACCTCTAATTTTGAGACTTGTTCATATATATATATTTCTAATGCGGACCTAAATATCTGAAATTGCAAGAGTTACAGCAGAGAGTCTGACGGAGCTAAAAAGTGATGGATAACAGCGAGTCAACTGTGGTCAAGCAGCTGAAGTAGTTAAAAAGTTATGGATACTGGGATAGAATGATTGTGTGTAGTGGTTATTGTTGTCGCCTCAAACCAAAATGGTTCTCGGGTCTAATTTTAGATGGAAACTTTGTACATTTTCGTGTGTTCCCTGTATGGATTTTTAAAATGTAATGTCTTTAATCAGATACTGCAGTTTTCTTCAACAGGCATGTCAGGATAGTTGGACAAATGAAAGTGACATTAGTTGTGTGTATGTGCATAATTGTGAGTTGTTTTTTTAGGTTTCTATCTCTGTGTGGTCTTGTCTCTTGTGGCCTAAAACTGATCTGGGTGTACACCGTCCCGAAATCCCGCCATCACGCTGAACAGGCGAAGGCAGGTAACAATGGATGACAAGAAAAACAGCCTGCTAAACTCAAGCTGCAACTTTAGAAAATCTACCAATATTGCTTGTCTTCAATTGTAAGCTGACAGTAGTTGATTAGTTGACATAGCTAAAAACATTAAAAAAATAAATAAATAAGTGCAATTTAGGTAATTTAAAGAAATTTTGCAAAAATCATTAGAAAGGTTCATAAACGTACAGTCAAGCTCATGGAACTGGAAGTAGGAATAATATGAGGCCAAATTCAACACTGACAGTACAACAACATGGTAAACATAAATAATTATAATTTTAAGAGTACATTTGTAGATTACATTAAATATTTTCTTATTGGTATGTATCTTTTACATGTTTCTAAATGTACTGTGTTGATTCAGAGTCTGATTTATACTCGAATACGTTTTTAAATACAGGTCTCTCTTGTAAAGGAGTCCTCGAGGCTCAATGAGACTAACCTGTATAAATAAAGGTCGAATGGATTACACTGTCCACGCCACAGTGCCTGTTTTCTCATTTAGCTATAGTTTATTTTAATAAATATAGAAAATTATTAAACTATAAACTATTTAACTTTAGTTAATTTTAATAAATATAGAAAATTTCACATGTTACATACAGTAATAACCAGTTTAAATGAAAAACCTGAATTGCATATTGAATATAAGGAATGCCCACCGCCTTTCAAGATAGTTTAAACGTAGATAACTTTATATTGAGAAAACTACAATAGAGCTAATTCCAAAATAAACATCCCATATAAAGAAAATGCATCAATTAAATAACTTTTTTTTTCCAAAAAGCACCCGGATTAGCACTGTGCCTGCTATTTTAGCATTTGCCAACACACTGATTATTAATAGTTTTCGCATTTAACAGTTGACAATGTGATCAACATTCAGGGCTAGAAAGCTCAAAGAGAACAGGGAGGATATGATCTGGTGTATTTGTACCTTGTATCCTGGACCGAGCTGATGAATGGCAAAGATCTGAGCCGGATTGAGAGCTTCACTGAACACATAAATAGCACCCAGCTGACCGCAAAACACTCTGTTTGCATCTGCTGTCTCTGATGAACCCAGGAAACACTTGTCATAGCTCTGGAAAAGAAGGCAGAGGACACACACAGGTTCACTATAAAGTCAGATTTATTTATAACAAGTTCAATTCAATTCAGGTTATTTATATAGCACCAAGTCACAACACAAGTCATCTCAGGGCACCAAACAAATACATACATAAAAATGTAATTGGTAACGTTATTTATCTAAAGTAGGGTAGCCAGCAGATTGCATTGAGTCTTCATTTCATTGCAGTCTCCCCAAACATGTCAGGGAATCATCTCGCCTTAATTTAACATTAGAGTTCAATATTCATGTGCATAACCATTACATAATAATCGGTCAACACTGTACCCATGGTGCACTGATAAAGAAACACTGAAGGATTTAGAGAGATAACATAACCTTATGATCAGTCAAGTTAAACCTAAATGACTAGATTAACACATCGAGTTATGGGCAAATTGGTCAAGTATCCAGTAAGGTTTTGAACATCTCATTTAAAATACCATATTTAAAATATACATATATTTTACTTTGAACCAATGCATTAGGACAAATCAGCATCTTTGAGCGTAAAAATGAACATTTTTATCATCCTTACACTGCAAAAAGTCATAAACATTAATATACTTGTCCTGTTTTATTCTTTGCTCAGAACCTTTTGCAGTTAGTAACAGAGAAGACAAACCTTAGATAATAGCTTTGAATCATGCTCCAACTTGGCTATCACTTATGTCTATATTTCTATCTACTCGGCCTTCTGCAGCTACATTCTCCTAATACCTCTTATCGCAGTATCTGTCCTCCTTTACTCTCAAAATGATGACATGCGTTTTATCTTTAGCCTTCAAGAGAAAACAAACTGTGATAGCATCGACACAATTTAAGACCCGTTCCTTCACCTCTTACGAGTTTTTTGATGAGCTGCGCAAACTATGTGCACAAACTCAAAGATTTAACCTCGAGAGGGAGGTACTTCTTACAGACAACAGCAACAGCCACTAGTAACTGCAGCAAAGTCAAGAGCCAAATAGGGAAGAAGCGTAACAAAAAGGCCACTGAGAGTTCAGGCTGCCTGTCCCCTGCTAAATGGAAAAGTTGGATGTTGAAGTTTGGATGAGTTGTGCTGGAAAGAAGCCCAAGGGCAACTCTATCACAACCGGCAAATGCAGAGGGCAAACCTCAAATGTTTGCCAAGTTCACAACATGAAAGGAAGTAAGAAGTGGAGCCAAACCAATACTGGATTTCTAGGAATTCTAACTAAAAATTAAAAAGATTTCCAATCCCAAAAACTGTCTGGTCAAGATAAACTTTTTACTCTTAAGACAGGTAGTTGATAAACAAACTGTGTATCAAATAAAGACAACGTTAGCAGCCTTACATCGTTCGTGTTGACGTGCCAAGCCATATCACCATAGGAGACCAGCTGACCGTTGACATAGCAACGGATCTCAGAGTTTCTCCAGCGATTGTAGATGTGGACGATGCTGATCATGTACCACTGAAAAATAAAACACGTGAAGATCATAAATCTGTACTTATCAAAACCAACAATCAAACAGAAGTAACAAAAGCAGCAACATTTAGATTAAAAAAAGCCTTTTTTTTTCCATGTAGGCTGATATTCTACGTTTTCAGAAATTTTACTGCATTTTATTTTGTAAATAAGTATAAAGATCTACTCCCCCCCACCCCCATTTTTATAGAGTTGGATTGTTTGATATGTGTTGCATCACCTTGCCTGAGCTGATTGTGTGTGTTTTTATATACTCTTAGTCTTGGTAGTCAAATGCATCATAGTAATTAAAATAAAGTATTAGCAAACCTTTTAAAGTACACAGTAAAAAAAAAAAGAAGATAATTTTAACCTCGTTAGAATCAATAATAACCCAAAAAAGTCTAAACTTTTGACATCAATATCCTGCTGTGCAATGACTGATTTCAAACACTTGGGCTAGTACTGTATATACTTCAAAAGGTTAGTTTGTTTATTTCACGTTAACATTCTTAAATTTAAGCACACTATGAAATATGACCTCATACACCAAAGTTCATGCTCAATAATCCAGGTAGAAAATCCAACAAAGTTCAGTCAGGTCATCTGGACGGCTTCTTTTTTTGTTGAGACGTTTCGTCCTTCATCCAAAGGACTTCATCAGTCCGACGAACCACAAACAAACTCATTCCCACAAGCAGCACATTCCCATAGTGGACCATCCAGTTTGCTGGTGATAAGATGGTTTCTGGGGCCCGCCCTCTCCCCCGTCGATTCCTATGAGGCAGCCATAGTCAAAGTGGTTCAAAACATCAAAGTTCATGCTCAATAATCCAGGTAAAAAATACAACAAGCCATCTTATCACCAGCAAACTGTTTATTTTCCCCACTATGTGAGTGTGCTGCTTGTGGGACTCAGTTTGTTGTGGCTCCTTGGATTGATGAATTATTTTAGATGAAGGGCGAAACATCTCAACCAAAAAAAAAAGAAACCGTCCAGATGACCTGACTGAACTTTGTTGGGTGACCTCATACAGTTTACTGCAATGTGCTGGATTCATTCACCCCGGAGGAAAGACAAATACGGTCTACAGAGGGAGGAAGACGAGCTAGAATTCTGCCAGTTCATATATCACCACAAAGCAAACGTGCACCTAAGCGCCCCCTCGCTCACCCACACATTAACCCTTGCACACAACAGACAAAAGCCTGTGAGAGGTAGTGACTTCTAAATTGATCAAATAGAACCACTGGGAACTTTGTCAGGCAGTGAGTGGATTCTACTGGGTCAGCAAGTCTTGCAGAAGGCCATCTCATCAACCGGATGCGTGCGCTTGTTTACAGGCGCATGCAGCGCTGCGTTTGTGTGCAGGACAGCAGCAAAATGCTGATGGAGCAGTAGAGGGGCTGTGCACAGGCCTTAATTGACAGACCTTATCTAAACTCATCAACATTCCCAGTGAGTGCAGGGAAGAGATAAAAGAGGACAGCAGCTGCAGCCAGCACACTCCTGATGCTTTCTCATCTAACAAGTGGCACGCCATTTCCAAACCGGGCATGTTTCCTTACCTTACGAGGCTGGAAATCATACTTCACACAGTGTTGAAAGCCTTTTCCTTTGGACTTCAGCGATGTCACGATGAGACAGTTTCCCACAAAGTGAGCCGAGTAACCAATTCCTTTACTGGTGCGAAAACTGTGGAAAATAAAGCAAATGACGCTTTCGATAAATGAAACGAACCCTGAGTTTTTATTTGACTGAAAAAAAATGAGCTGAAACCACTTTAACACAAGCACGGTACCTTTCATGTGCACATTTTTGATTATTTAAGTCACCTTTTACAAAACGCGACAGGCAACAGCAACAGGATGCTCAGATTACTGGTTTTTAAGGAACACTAATCCTCCTCGCTTCCATTCTCTCCATCATAAGATTTCTCTTCCCACATCCGTAACATCCACGTAAAACACAGTTTCACAGCTAAGACACATTTTCCTCCTGAAATAGGCCCAGAAAGATCACACGTGCATCAAAGCCAGAGAGCAGAGATAAATCCCTCTCAAGTGAATCCCTGGTTTACATTAGCATGGCGCTAAAGAGGGTTATCATGGCCGTCGTGCAGCTGCAGAGGCCACTGTCAAACACGCTGCTTGAGTAGCAGCTGCATCTGGGGGAGGATGATAAGACCTGGGCCAGAAGAGAGGAGGATGTCCTCCCTCTCTCACGCTATTTACCATGACAACCTGACAAACGGTTACTAAGGAAACAGGATTACATCCTAACACTTTACATGATTACAGCTCGTCTCTGCGATGATATCTGGAGCAAATGTTGTGTTTAATTCTTCTTTTACGACAGTAAAATGCCCAATTTTTTCAATCTGCGGCAAATTTTTGAAATAATTAAGGGGAAGAAGTGAAGGAAGGATGATGCTAGTTAGCATCGCAGAGAAGGGAGGCAGATGGAAGAAGCCCAAGCAAAGAAGTTCAATTAGCCAAAAGGTCAAAGCTAATGAAGCTTCTCACTGGCTAACGGCATGTGCTTACAGGACTAAGGCCAGAGCTGCACAGCGAGCAGAGGCATCCTCCAGACTCTGCACTTATATCATGTCATGACATTTCAAGTTTTGTTCTAATTTCACAATGCATTTACCTCTGAACTCGATTTATGTCCTTCAGTTTTTATCACTAACGTGTTCACTATCTAGAATTCTAAAACTAGTATCACCTGCTCATGGAGAGTAAAAAAAGGAATATAAAATATGCTCAGGCTGCTGCTTAATACACCGTATTATTTTACATTATTATTGTTTAGTGTATACCTTAGATCCATGTATACTGTGTCTTTTTGATACTTTATATTTTTGCTGGTTTTGGTGTAACTGGGACACTGTATACACTATTTCGTTCCACCTCATGTACCACATGTGATGTGAATGACAATAAAGAATTTGAACCTTGAAAAAATGAAAAATCATTCTGAATATCAAACTAAACTCCAGAGCACAAATGTATTTATGTTGCATTGTGTGTCCAGCGTAGTCGTCTTGTAACAGCCACAATTCATTAGAATGACTTGTTGTTTGTTCATTTTGTTCGTTTGTTTGTTTATTTTGGTCTATCGTCCTCTGGATCTTCGAATGTGTATGTTTCCATGTTCCTTCTAACTTAATAGGATGTTGTTTTTCTGTCAGATGCTCTGTTCTGCAGGGGCTGCCACAGTGAGTGAACTTGCAGAAAACATTTGGCAATTGTTTTACCCTGGAGGCACTTCCTGAAGCAACCCGGGCTTGAACCTGCAGCCTCAGAATTACAAGACCGCAGCACTAACCACTGAACTACCACAGCCTCCTAGCTATTTTAGGGTCTATGATAAAAAAAAGGATACATCCTGTTTTGTAATCCTCTTAAAGTAGAATCAAGTGTCTCACTTCTAAGAAATGTTTATTCTAAAATAAATAAATAAGCCGTAACGTCTTGTTGTGGAGTGTACAGTGGTACTGCAACCCCGGAGCATTCTAATCACAACATGTCAGTTCATTCAAAACCCAAGAAATAAAAAACTAACTTGTACAAATAAAATATGTTTCTTTAAAAGCTTTCCAAATTACTTCAGTACTAACAACAGTTTCTTGCTTTGTAAAGTTGCTTTAGATTTAATTAATCTACTCTAAGGCGCTGTGCCATTTTAAATGCATTGACTAATGAGGATGAACAAGTTGCTGGTTTAATTCCAGGCAGTGCCACTTGTACCGAGAAGCAAATTTAGTGATCGACAAGACTGGAGCAGTGTTATCTAAATGAAGTCCTTTTGCCAGTAATACTGGCAAGTCTACGCCATTTAAATAAGCTGTAAATATATTTTATGCACTTCCTTTGACAGATATCAGACTATCTGCACACAATCCTGAAATATTCAAACCACTGAGGTTGAAAGTCTGCACTCTACCTTCTCTTGACATTAATAAAACTCTACTTTGTAAAACATCTTCACCTCAGTCAACTCCTTTTTATTCTAGACGCAGGTCATTCGAAGCTACAGAGGGACCAGAGCTTGCTTTATTCTGCACTGCAATGCAACTCTGGTGATATGCGCTGCTGATTATCCATGCTGCTGATTTCATGCTGCTGATTATTTCATGCTGCTGTATTCATTCATTCATTCGTAATCTACCCACAAAGACTCATGTTCGTGGTGCTGTTGTTTTGGTGTATTATTAATTTGCAATATTAGTGTTTAGCGCAAGTCTTAGATCTTTTAACGTACTGTTTGGTGTTGGTTTAACGTATATCTTATCTTAGCTCCTCATTTACTGTTTCTTTATACACTTTATATTTTTGCTATTGTTGGATGTAACTGGTACCCTGTGTATACAATTACGTTCCTCCTCATGTACCACATGTGATGCGAACGACAATAAAGAACCTTGAACACTGAGTGTTTATTGTAGTGCCATTTTGTTTAAAATATAAACTTAAAACAGTGTCTACAGTGTTGGCCATTTAGTTATTATCTACTGCTATTTGTATCTATATTTTTATTTTATGTTTTCCTGTCCGCTGTGCTTGTTTGTTTCTGTTGTACAGCACTTTGGTTGGTCTTGTTGCTGTTTTAAGTGCTCTATAAATAAATTGGTATGGCATTATTAGACGTAAGCACAAAAGACTAAAAGACATAAAAATGTTGTTTTATTGTTACTTGATGTCAGTTAAAATATTTTATAACTAAACTTGCAAAAATATTGATACTAAGTCAATAAGTCAAAACCTAAGTAACATCAACTCTATGACGATCTGTTAAATAGAGAAATCTTTTTTTGAAATTAGAAAAACTCCTATTAGAAATTCATTTTATTTTAGACTATGTTTTATTCAATAAAGGTTTCCATTTGACTACGATATAGTCCGGGTAAAGTGATCTACTCACCAGTAGAGGTATGGTTTGTCCTTGTCCACGTTGATGTTGTTGAGTGGATCCTGCCTGAACCAAGTGTTGATAGTGAATCCGTTCTGGTACGGCCATTTGGCAATTGGTGGCAACGCAATAGCCTGGTGGAGAAAACAGAAAACAGCAGCTCCTGTCAATGTGTAAAACAATTAATATTACAGTATATCACTTATTTCTATTTAACAGCCGCCTTATTTTTGTAAATTAAAGTGCATGTGTACAGGTGAGCATGAAGGATATGAAGGAATTTTTAGTCCTTTAGGTACAAAAGTAATGTCATCTTTCTAATCTGCAACAAAAGTGTTGGCGTGCAAAGTCTCACCGCTGCACTGCGTCCTGGAAAGTTGAAGAAGGTGTCGGGACCATGCCTCTGAGGCATCTGGTTCAACACTGACAAGAGCTTGATAGCGTGTCTTGGCTAGCGGAGGAGAAGAGAAAGTAATCATCATTATTATTGTGTGACAGATGTCGCCTGTTAGAAAGATAATAGAGAAAGACAGTTGGGGGAAAAAAATTAGCATGGCCTCACAACTCTACCACAACCTCACCGGATCAATAGGTCTTCAATCATCTCCCTTGACTACAACCCCTCGACTCCATGGCAACCCTTTATTGATTTGCCTCTAAAGAGGGTTTCTGGATGGGGAGGAGCAACTAAAATGGACTGAGGTGGATGGGCTGACAATAGGTATTGGACAGAGGTGGTATTGCAAAATGGTTGAAGGTATGGACCACTGATCAGTGACCAGAGGTGGTGACGGTAAGGTCAAGAGAAAGGGAGGGGTATTATCTAGTGAAAACCACGATTACACATTCTCTACACCTACTAACCTGAAATGAACAATTCAACTGTTTGGAATATGAGGTTATGAGGAAAAGATATGAACAATAAATATAAGTTGTAGATAACTTTTAGAGCAGCCCAAGTTTAGAGAAAATTCAATCGGACTAGATGGACAAGATAATGGCTAGTTCTAATAGGACCAGAACCAAAGTAGATTGCTCCTGTCATTTTTTAATGGCTTATTGTAAACAGTGTTTAATAAGCCTTTATATCACTTTCAGGTTTCACGATGGGTGGTTATTGAAGGCAGCAGTAGCAGCTAACTGCAGCACTTCTGATTCAGCCTGGGTCATTTCCTGCAGGAATATCCTAATATTTTAATCAGAATAAATTTGTATTGCAAAACTGATAGCGGGCAGCACGGTGGAGCACTTGGTAGAGCTGCCGCCTCTCAGCAAACAGGTCGCACCGTTCCAAATCCCGGCCGGCGGCCATTCTGGGTGGAGTTTGCATGTTCTCTCCGTGCATGCGTGGATTTTCTCCAGTTACTCCGGTTTCCTCGCACAGACCAAAAACATGCATGTTAGGCTGATTGGTAACTCTAAATTGTCCCTAGGTGTGAGTGAGAGAGTGAATGGTTGTTTGTCTCATTTGTCTCTATGTGTCCCTGTGATGGGACTGGAGACCTGTCCAGGGTGTCCCCTGCCTCTCGCACAGTGATGGCTGGACATGAGCACCAGTGACCTCCATGACCCGAAAAGGAAGAAATGGGCAAAGATAATGGATGGATGGAAAACTGATATCAATGTAAAGATTTATAAAATAATTCCAATCTCAACTGAATACAAAATTTTGAGTTGTTTTAGGGGCAGCAGGATCCACTTTGGTCTTGTCCGTGCTCTGTCTAGCTCCAACGTCATCAATCGGGTCAAAATTTAACTTTTTCTCCAAAATGAGGCCGTCAAAATAACCATCTGCAACAGGTAAAATATTAATTGTTCATAAGCTTTCCACATAACTCTTCTTTAAAAGCTGAGTTCTGAAAGACTGAGGTGTCCCTTTAAAAAGACTAACAGGATGTTAAACAAACAATTTCTGGGGGTGGGGGCTTCTACGTTCATGGAAAACATGAAAATGTTGACAGAACCTGATCAGGCCACTTGTGGTGACTAGTGAAAGCAAATAGTTTATTTTAGAAGGCAAACACCCCCCTTACATCTCTTACAGGGAAATCTGTCAATATACAAAGACAAAAAGCACTGAGCTAGCTGTTTCACAAAGACTTTAACCCCATAAAATCATCCTTGATCTGCACAGTTCAGTTTTGAAACATCCATTCCAAGGTAGGGAAACCAAGCGAATGCAAGCCGAGCTAATCAGTAAACTGCAGGTCACGGTTCAGATTACATCAACAGGAAACCAAACTAAGTTTAAACTAATCACCTCTGACTCTCTTCCACTGAAATAAGCATGTGTTCATGTATTAAACAAATACATAAAAAAACCAATCTTATTCTATAATTCAAGCTAAAACATTACTTTAAACACATTTTTCAGTTTAAAGGTCTGGAGCTGTCACATGCAGGGCTTCATTAAAAAAGGTTTCGTTTGGCCGACTGCACTGTGAGGAAGAGCTCAGATGAAGAGGTATGCTGGCGAAACAGCCTGTCAGAAGGGAAGGAGGCAAAATCTGAGCTCTTGAGAGAATCATTTAGTCTAGTCAAGCTGCTCTGCGGTTAGTGACACAAAATGAGAGCTGCATGCAAAAAGAGCATGCGCTGCATCCAGTATTCCACCTTCACACTTGATTAGACCGTCACTGATCTTTTCATCAAGTTTCTGCTCCAGTAACAACAGTAACAGAGACAATCCTGCACTGAATTCATGAAGTTAATAATAAAAAAAAAAGATAAAACCACTAATTGCCCATGTTTCAACATCCACTCCCAAATAAGTCCAAACACAGATACGAACACACAGAAACACAAACACATCCTATGTTATTAAGTCTATTAGCACAATAATCTCATTAAGTGACATCAAGACTAATGACACAACAAACTCAAGTTGCATAATTAATCACATACGCAATAAATTAGGCTTTTATATTAGGCTTAGGCAATATTATATAGGCTTTTATAAAAGATGAATACTAGCTTAGTGAAATCAGGATTTTTTTTTAAAGAAAATAAACAAAATTAACAACTGAGTTAAAAAAAAAACTGTTCCTTTAATTCCTGTTTTTTTTCTATCCATTACTGATTTTTGTTACTGTTAAGCATACAACACCTGAATTATTACCAAGAAATTCTGTATCTATTAATGAGCACAATATGAGCTTTTTAGAAAGGAATATAAGAAAATAGCACCCCTTTTGTGCAAAAGAAGATATTTTTGGTGTCGGAATTCACAACCTATCCAAAAAACATGTCAGACATATTGTTTAGGATTGCTATGCAATAAAGTGAGCCACTCGAAATTGCAATTTGCCAATACTGTATTAAATGTTTCATAATTAGATTAGGTCTGTGAGTATTATCGGAATAAGTCAGATTGATGTGTGCTGGTGGGAGCTTTTAGGCTAAATACTTAAAAGCTCTCTTGAATATAATGTGCTTCAAAGGTTATTGGGTGTTAACTCTTGTGCAAATTGAAGTGTGTCTGGTCGGCAAAGCCAAAAAAAGAAAAGAAAAACAGAGGTCAAAAGAGAGGTGAAGTCAACTGGCTACAGAAACAGGTGTAAGAACAGCTACAAGATGTGTAAAGTAGTGTTCTGTTTCTTAATAAAACAATTGTTTCAATGTGATAAAAAATGACATAGTCTCCCCTTTAATGTTCAAGTATTCAACACTTTTAAAAACACAAAATAAAAGTACCATAGATGTAACTTAAGTCCTCTTCTATTCATAATTTGTACAAATGAATTGGGACAGAATGTGTCTGATGCTAATTTGCACTTTTATGCAGAGGACACAGTTATTTATTGCACTGGATCCACTCCTACTCAGGCTATTGAACTATTACAAAAAGCCTTTGCTGCTATCCAATGCTCTTTATTACATTTAAAACTTGTTCTTAGTACAGATAAATCTAAACTGATGTACTTTTCCAGATCCAGAGGTCCACAAAAGATCCCCTCTGTGTTCTCTTGCAGTGGAAATGAAATGGTGCTGGTTCACGCATATAAATATTTGGGCATTTTGATTGATGATTCCCTCACTTTCAAGCCCCATGTGGAAAGTCTTGTGAAAAGGCTCAAATTAAAGCTGGGCTTTTATTTCGAAATAAGTTGTGTTTTTCATATACAACTAAAAAGCGGCTTGTCTCTACAACTTTTATGTCTGTTTTGGACTATGGAGATCTTTTGTATGCGATTGCTTCATCACAATATCTTAAGATGCTTGACTCTGTCTACCTCTCTTCTCTGAGGTTCATTACAAACTGCAAAATGTCAACACACCATTGTGATTTGTACTCACGGGTGGGATGGCCTGGTCTGACTGCCCAAAGGAACTCCCATTCGTTAACTTTTATTTACAAGGCACTGCTTGGACTCCTGCCGGCCTATATTTGTACTGCAATAGCACTGAGAAATGTTGTGTGTCTTCTACCGCTGCTTCTTTCTGTCCCTTTTGCTTGGACTGAATTGGGTAAGAAGGTTTCTGCTCCCTCTTCTTGGCACTTGCTACAAGAAACTCTGAGATCGACTGAATTCATCTCATTCAGTGCTTTTACATACAAACTAAAAGTTATTGAGGCCAATTTAATGATATGTACCTGTTTTAATAGCTAGCTTGTTTTATAGCACCTGTTTTTTTTATCGCTTGACATTGTCTTTTAACTGTGTAATTTCTTTGTGTTGCATTTGTTGCTAACTCTTGGCCAGGTTGAAAAAGAGGTTTTTAATCTCAGTGGATTTTTTTATGCTGGTAAAATAAAGGTTAAATAAAAAATAAATTATGCAAAAATATATGGAAATGATTCAAAACTGTTCACTTCCGTAACAGTTTTATTTTTTAATTAAATGGTAAATGGACTGTACTTATATAGCACCTTTCTATTAAACCTGGATACCCTCTGTGCCCTCATTTCCCCCCACCACACACACGTACAGTATTCATACATCACTCTGCTTCATCTCTACCAAGCTGATCGGAATAAATCATTCTATAGAGACTAATCAGTGCTTTACATCACATTCATATACTGATGGGACACACATCAGAGGTGGTTCAGTGTCTTGTCCAGGGATGCTTCAACATGTGACTGCCTACTGGGGGAATCAAACCTCCAACACTTATTAACTGCTCTAACCATTCAGTCACAGTCACATCTTAGTCACCATAAACTTACCCAGATGCCATTCTCTCCTCTCAGCATACTGAAAAGAAGCTTCAGCTCCTTGACTGTGATGCTGTAACTGGCCAACACTCCCAACATGTCCACCAGGAGGTCTGAGGAAAACACAGAGGAAGAGAGGGAGTGTAAGAGACAAGTGTGTCAGTTCTTACAAGTGTATTTGTGAGCTAGTTTGTAGAAGGCTCTGTGCTAACATTTCTCTGGAAGATGTCATAAGATAGAGACAGATTTTATACTGTGAGCGTTGGGCAATTTATCATTCAGTGCAGCAGACATTCAGGCAGCTGCATCCCCCGTGCTCACTGTTACTGCACTGTATACAAGACACACACTGCCTCGTGTCTCAGTAGGAGCTGCTGTGCACAGCATTACTCAGTGCAGGGAATTACAACACTGTGATATATTGAAATTATTTAAACTCATCAAGTTTAAATAGCTTATAGATAGGTATAAAAATATTATTTTATTTTAATATTATTTTGTTAAAGATTATAGGTAAAAACAAGCCAACTTTAAGCATTTCGATCAGCTGAGGTTTATAATTTTACATTACATAAATTATATAAGTTCCTATTAAAATCATATGATGCAAATTACTTCAGCTAGCTATTTTCAGTATTTAAAAGGTGTTATGTTTTGATTTTTGGAATTTCAACATATAAATAGATTTTAAAAATAGATAAAGAAATATATAGGTTTTATGAAAAGATAGTTCAACAAGGTTTTCAGTAAGAAATTAGCTTTGTGTAGTTTAGTGTAAGACACGGAGAGCAGGAAGATATAAACTACCGATAGTTTGTTTTAAAATGTTTCAGAACACAAACAAACCTTTTGCCAAAATACAAACAAACAAATAAATAAATAAATATATATATATATATATATATATATATATATATATACACACAAGCTAGAAAGGTCCATTTTCTTGTTTATACAGTAGTCCCTCGCTACTTCGCGGTTCGTTTATCGCGGACTCGATCTATTACAGTTTTTCAAAATAAGATTGGGCATGACACACACTTGGCAGATTGATGGATGAGCAGCACGATCGGCATGGAATTTTTATTCAAAATAAATTATTTTTAATTATTTTAGTACCTGCTGCACATTTGTGCAGCCCATGCTGCAGGATAAACTTCCTGCTGCAGCTGATCAGCTGTTCTCCATGCAGAGCAGAGAAGTGGGCGTGGCCAAGAGCGCTTGCAGGTGGCTGAGAGCAGCAGAGGCAGAGAGGGAAATCATGACATTCTACGCTATTTTAGAGTGTTTAGAGTTTAGAAACATTGTTTAGAATATTGAAAGAGTGTGGGAAGGCTTTAAAATGCCTTTATACATCATATATAATATATATATATATATATATATATATATATATATATATATATATATA